CAGGGTATCTGTGCAGCTGCCTCTCTCACTAGGCAAAGATGAAGACCAGACTTTCCATGCTGACAAATACACATTAATACTATGCCATTAACATTTAAACTCCTTGAGATTACTCAATTTAATTGAACGGAAGGAAACACATTTCTTGACCTCTATTCAATCCAAGATAATGCCTGCCATTTTCATTAACAGACAATACAATTCCAGGCCGCACAATGTGATGGGCATCAATCTATTTTACAGCAAGTCCCACAGCAAATTAAGTACCACTGAGTTATAATTTCAGGAGCACACAAATATATCCATAATAAATTTAATATGGTATTCTGCCATTCAATCTAGTAAGTAGAAAACAGCCTAAAGAAAAAAAAAAAAATCTTGGACTCATACTATATGGAAGTATATGGTGAGTAAGGAAATCATTTATAAGGAGAGTAATGTAATTGCTCACTTCAGAATTACTAATATTATCAGTTTCTGATAATAAAGAAGATTGAGGGGGAAATGAAACAAAAATCAGAGAATGATGTATTCTGACAGCTACTTCATCAAATAAGATTTATAAGCACACCTGGCATTAAATATACATACATGTATTATGTACATACAAAGTAAGGCTACATTCTGTTTATAAGGCATATAACTTTCTCTAGCAACTGTGCCTTGTATGAATGTAGTGAAAACCATCCTCTTAGTTATACAGGAATGTTCCTGAGCAAAGCTTTTTCCTAGGTTATTTATTGCTCAGGTTCCTTGACAAATAGCTAAGTGCAGCAGTCATTTTTAGGTAAAATCCTGGTTCCATTTTTTTTTAATTTATTCATTTGGTTGTGCCAGGTCTTAGTTACAGCACATAGGATCTTGGATCTTTGTTGCCATATGTGGGATCCTTTATTTATTACATGCCAGCTCTTAGTTGCTGCATCTAAGTCCCTGTCTGACCAGGGACTGAACTTGGGCCCCCACAAAGTCTTAGTCACTGGACTACTAGGGAAGTCCCCTGTTCCCATGAAAAGCAAGGGTTGGCAAACTATGGTTCCCAGGCCAAATCTGGCCCACTACTTGCTTTTGTAAGTAAAGTTTTACTGGAATACAGTCATGTCATGCTCACTTGTTTACATACTGTCTATGATTCTTTCCTGCTATGTTAATAGAGCTGGGACCCTTGGGCTCACAAAGCCTAAAATATTTACTATCTGGCCCTTCACAAAAAAAGTCCATGGACCTCTATTCTAGAGCTAGTTTTAGCTATCCTACTTTTATATACCTGAATCCTAAGTAAATAGGATTACTAAAGCCCTATACTTGGTTAAATAAAACAGAATATCAATACAGTGAAATGTTATGCAATCACTACAAATGACATTTACTAAGAGTTTATAGTGGCCAAGGATAAATAAGTTTGTTATGCTAAGGTTTAAGTACATGAAATTGAAAATTCAGTCTAATTGCATCAATGAAAAACATACAAACACAGAAAACAAAAGACTTTTTAACCAAAAAGTTAACACTAATTGTGGTAATGATGGTAAAATCTTTTTTACATTTTCCTTCTTTTTTACTTTTTAGTAAATTTTCTAGAAAAAATGTATATCCCATTTTTCACTGGAAAATATTAAACTGACTTTTAAGAAAACCTTAACCCTAAAAATATAAGTAAGTATTATCTGATAAACTGTCTCCTTTCTCCATGCTAAAAAAAAAAAAAAAGGCTGGTATTTTTCTTTAACTCAGCTGTTCCAAAGAAGTACACGTTTCCCTTGACAATTCTTCCAATGAATATGGTTTATTGCTATTCACAGGCTAAGAACACTCAGTGAAATGTTCAATCTAATTTCTCTTCCTCAATATGCAGAAAGTGGTTAATTGTAAAAGATCTTCCCACCTGGGACTCTGCTTAATCATTCCAGGCAGTGCTTATCTGATGACCAACACCCACAGTCGTGAAGTATTGATCTTAAAGTCCATTCTACGGTAACCATATTATTTTCATTCGCTTTTCACTGTGCTTCCTACTAAATGCTTACTCTAAAAAAGGTAATTATATATTAACTCCAAAAGAGGATTTCAGGTAGGTACCGAGACAATGCCTCACATCACGGTGGAGTGAAAGCCTGCTGCCTGACCCAAGGGTACGAACCCACAGCTGTCAGGGAAGGGACGTCTGGTCCCCCTGACTGGTAGAGGACAACAGGGCTGCTGACCTGGTGGAGGGGGCACGGGTGAGAAACAAATCAACTTGCTGCGCTGGCAGCAGAGTGTGGAGTGGCTAGAGCGGAAGGGCCCTCTATGCTCTTCCTGCTTCTTCCCTGGCCCATCCCTGCCCTTCTACTCACAGCCCCTCTGACACAGCACCCAGCCCAGCTCCTGGACAGAGCTGGTGTGCACCGTCAGCTCTGGAGTTGGGGTGCGTAGGAGCAGTAAGGACAGGAAATCCACAGGGAAGAGCAGCAAAATGAGTGGGGATGAGACCGATTCCACCACAGATTTGGGGGTGCCTCTGTGGGTGTTCCTGCCACAGGGCTTATGGTCATTTCTACCCTCCCGCTGTAGTTTGAATCCCGACCACACTGCTGTGATAAAGGTCTCATCTGACCAAGGTCTCCCCATCCTTACACGGATTATTTTACTTAAACAATATTCTTAAGTCATTTCCCCACATTAACGCCTTCCCCTGCCAGACCTAGAAGAGCCAAGGTCCTTAGCCCAACATCAAGGCAGTCCACCCTCTGATGTCAGCCCACCCTCTGACCTCATGTCACCCCTTTGGATGCCGTCCTCTCTCTACTGACCCAGGTTTGTGCATGAGGAATCACCCGCCTGTGCGTTCTCTGTTCCCCTTCAAGTCCCACCATTTGCCCAGACCCAGACTCAGTTTCCCTCTCTTCCAAGAAGTCCTCCCTTATCCCCTTGGCCCCTCTGTCCTCTGGAAACACAAACAGCCCTTAGTGCCACAGATCCGCCTGGCCCTTGCTTGTGGATGGCCTGAAATGTTCAGATTTCCTTGTCAGGCAAGAAGCACTCATTTAAATAATGAATTTTCAGGCTACATTTTGTCTCCTCAACGAGACCATAAATTTTTGAGGGCAATGCTTCTTTGTATTGCCTATAGTGCTTAACATGAGTTTTAAGTACACTGGTGGTATTTAGTAAATTATTTCTTGGACAATGAATAAAATGAACGGCTTCCTGAGCTATCTGGACCAGAGATCTTCCTGAGGTCATGTTAAATGGCACCATAAACCTTTTCTGACAGTGATCACAGAGTACTGAGAATTAAATAGAAAAATTCACAAGTGAAAGGACGAAAAGACCTACAGTCAAGGGCAGCAGCAGGGCCACGGAGCACAGGGGTGATGCTCTGAGGCAGTGTGGGTATGGCTGACGTGCTGCCTTAGCCTCACCGGAGGGCAGGTCCCTGCTCTCCTCCTTTCCCGTCAGCCCGAGCCTCTGGATGAAGCCAGTGCCAGCACTGGCTTCAGGTATTTCCAGCTCTGCCTCGTTCGCCTTCTCTCTCCACATGGGAGCTTCCATCTCCATGTCTCCTGCTTTTCCCTCTCTCCCTCTGTTGCCTCCCCCAGCACCCAGCTCCTTGCTGCAATCTCCCAACATGCTAATAGGCAACAGCCACCCCCTCCTAGTAGGAATCCCATCCACTGCGTCCTTTGTTTCAAACACCATAGTCCTCCCACCTGTGTCTCTATGGGATTCTTTTCAACATCCCTGGTTCGTAGTCTCACTGTGTTATCAGCGTCTCCTTCCCTTCACCTCCCGTCACACTTGATGTCTGTGCTTGATGACAACAGTCCTGCCTCACATGAAGGCTAGCTCAGCTCTCTTTCTTCCATGGTTGGGTCCCTCAGGGTACACTTTTGCCACATGCATTCTGCTTTTTGCGGTGCAGTGGAGGAGTGGCAGCAGTCAGGCCCTGAGTGGGCTGAGCTGTGGAGTGGGCTCAGCAGCTGGGGGCCACTGCCCATCATCCCCCTCCTTCTCCTCTAGCTCCTTAGGGATCAGCTGAGCTAGAAGAGACCCACAGCCAGGATTTGAGAGGGCTGGGGTGGAGTGGGAGGCAGATGCCCTCTTTCAGGTGCAGTGGGTCAACCTGATGCTGCAACAGAGGCAAAGCTGCAAGTCCAAGTTCTCATCAAACCAGTCGCTTGAGGCAACTTCATGCCCGCCTGCCACCCAGGCTACAGTCACTCAAGGGGCCTCCCAAAGGGTTGAGCACCATGTTGTTGCCCCTAGAGTCCTCTCCTGTCTCAATACTTTCTTCAGGGCTGTGGGGAAGGAACCAGGACCCCGAGTGTCTGATGGGGTTAGGACACCCTGGCAGGAAGTTGAGGAAGAAGCCCCCACAGAGTCCAGTGAACCCACATGGCTGCACTGTCCCGCCTGTGGCTCACCAAGGGCTACTTACCTCCGTGTATATGATTTCCAGCAAAACATAAAATGGAAAAGCAAATATTAAATGGGAGGAAGACGGTCTAGGGGAGAAAGCTGGACTTTGAGGCAGGAAGCACACACATTCCACTGTGAGTCCTGCCAGGGACAGAGGGCCTTACATGCAGCTTCTACCATCCTGGAATAGCCCACGTATTTCCTCAGTCATAGTCACAAGAGCTTTGAACTTCTCAAAAGACTGATGGTAGGGAAATAATATGAAATATTCTACTTCAACTCAAGCAAAGAATTATATAACTAGTGAAGTTTTTTTTTTTTTTTTAAAAGAAAGTCCACTTTCCAGCATGACACACCTTAGTACTGAGGACACCACCTCAGTTAGCCAAGATACGGGATAGGGAGCGCCTAGAAACCATGCACACACCTGACCTGGGGGAAAGCACAGCCTGAGCCCTGAGAGGAAAACCCCAGCATCCACTCGGGGTCCTGAGCACATGCCTGGAACTTGGTCTGCCAGAGTCAGGTAGATTCCTTGGATCCCCACGGCAAGCCCCAGGTGAGTGAGGTTGCTGGGAGCTGAGGCGGATGCCACTTACCAGCGCAGGGCGATTTTGATGGGGGTGGTGAGGCATGACGTGAACAGGTCAGCTGGGAGGTCAGGGATCATGGGTAGGAGCTCGTTGGCCTCACAGGCTGCCAGCTGAATGCAGTTCTTCATAGACGGGGGCAAAGGCATCTGGGCCAGTGGGTGGTTTGGGTTAATAGCAGCGACCTGCAGGGGGACAGGAAGGAGAGTGGCTTAGCTGTCGCCTGAAACTGGAGACTAAGCCAGAAATGTGGAAGGGATTATTGACTGAGGTTTAAGGCTGAGGGGTTCCAGGCCAAGTCCCCCAAAAAGATCGGATCCTCTCCTGGAGATGATCGCTAGCTCCAGCCCCAAATCACTCGTTACTCAAGGACTCTTGGGTTATAAAGGCCGGGGGGGGGGAAGCTCCATGAAGACCACGTGCTGGGATTTCAGGTGACGATGGCGCTGAGGCGGGCAGATGGGGCACGAAAGTGCAATTTTTCATCTCTGAGGGCTACTTGCTTGTTTCCCAACTTGAAAAGAACGTTTATGCTTCTCAGGTTTTGCTCCCTACTAAGAATCCCCTCTGCATGATTGTTTCTTTCACATTTGCTATTTCATTTGCTTTTTACAACATTCCCCCATGCGATAAGTTTTCTTTCCATTTTAAAAGATCTTCTACAATGAGGAAACTGAGATCCCAAGAAATGATGGGAACTGCCAGTCACTGGGCAAGTTCTGGTCATGAGTGGGGAGGCTGGTCCTGAGCTGAAGTTTCCCTTCCCTCATCCCATCGGGGCCTCCTGCACCCACACCACCCCTGTGACACTGACACACGTGCTCTGCAGGAGCTGAGCCTAACAGCACATTCAGGTGCACTTGCTAAGTTACACACACAGAGCTGTGCTCACTCATGTATCCCTACCACAGATTATGACATGTAAAGTGTTGTCATTATTAATGCTGATAAAACCTTGTTTTATTTCTCAAATGGAAGGCAGTAAAAGTTGTATTGCTATTAATAACCCCTTCTACTATAGGAATAGCAAGCCCAGAATACACATCATATTTTAGTATACTTAATACAAAATAAAAATGGCAATTTCTCAAGGAGTGGGTTTTTTTTTTTAATATTGTGGCAAAATACACACAATATAAAACATACCATCTTATCCATTTTGTTTGTATGGTCAGTGGCATTAGGTACAACTCACATCGTACAACCATTACCAGAGAGGGTTTTTTAAAGCACAGAGAAAAGGAAAGGCAGAATCACGTTTAATCTTCTCCTTGGCTCCGGCGCTACGATCTAAAATAGCACCAGTGAAGCAACCTGCTCCACACAGGAAATTAGTTTCCAGGTCTGCCGTGACAACCCGCTAGGAAGGATGACGGGTCTGGGTGCCGTGTGGGTCTGCGGCTCATCAGACCTGAGTCACGCGGAAAGACGTGGAGGCTGCAGATGTGTCAGAGTCAGGGGAGGCTGCCGGAAGTGCCCCACTCGCGTGCTCTGTGGAAGCATGTCCTCCTTGGTCCAGGAGGGAGGATGACATTGACGATGGGTCAGGCTCCGGAAGGGGAACGGAGGGCACAGCTCCGAACAGTGAAAGGGGCACTGGGGAGGTAGCCTGACACTGAAGCCTACACACACGCATCTCATGAGCATTACCACTAACGGGCACAGATGAGACAACCACAGGAAACCACTTAGGAAGAAAAAGTTGTTTATGTAAAAGCTAGATTCAATATTCTCAAATGCTGTCATGCTAGCTTCAACTTCTCCGTCCACAGTAAATTTACTTTCTGAGAACCGAAGAGCAGGTCCACTGGCCACAGCCCCCAAATGCTGCAGGCCTTCCACCTTCACTGTTGCCTGTCACTGAGCTTCTGCAGACTCAGGCTCTCAGAAGTGAGGCAGTCTGTCACACTAAGGCCACCTTTCTCCCAAGACACAGGGCCCCAAGTGGAGACGAGGGTGCTCGGTGGGCTTCAGGGGACTTCTGAAGGGGCCAGGAGGTCCGTGCCCTGTCCCCTGTGGTAGCAGTGCTCCGATGCTCCGACAGAGCCAGGCGGTGCTGTCGGGCAGCAAGTCCGCTCAGTGCCTCTGTGTTAGACCTGCCTCAGGCTGCACCTCGTGGTCCACAGGCACTTGGCCCGGAGCCTTGCAAAGTACCTGAGGCAGAGGAGGCCCAGGAGACGGGGAGATGATGCAGAAACATCTTCATCCCAAGTCCATTGGAAATTAAACTTCCCAATTCAAAATAGTCATTGATAGAAACCTTGATTTCCTAAACAAGCTCCTTCAAGTATGCTGGTGTATAAATTGGCAGAAGGCACTAAGTGTGGCTACAGATAATCTGAAGTATGGTAACACACAGTAATAGTCCCCCGAGGACTCATATCAGACCTGTCGTCACCACTAGGCACTCAGAAGGCAGATGAGAGCTCTGCACTGGGGTTAATTAGAATCAGTAACATTTTTAAAAAATGACATTCAAAACAAAGGATTCCACCAACGATTCATTTTTTCAAGCTGCTAACCCAGGAATACAACAAACAAACAAAAACAAATTATTTTAACAGGTGAGCTATTTTTCGTTTATTGTTTCGGTTTTGTATTTATCTAAGATATTGACCTTTTAACTGAAATTCGTCTTTGGAATAATAAATAGCCTGCATGTAAAGCTAACTACTAGTGATTCAGAGAACTTTTCAAAGGCACCCAAGCAAAGAAGCTGGTCCAGCTGGGAGCTGCCACTCACCCTGCAGGGCACACCCCAGACATACTTGTACTCAAAGGGGCTTCTCCTGGGGAACCCAGAGGCTCAAACACCAAGAGAACTTTCTTCGTTAAAAGCTCACTAGAGCCTTCTGGAGGATTTGGGAAGGATCCAGAAAAACTCTCAATGCGATACACAGCAACCAGATCCAAGAGCGACATCTGCTACCTCTTCCACACGTGTGGATAATGTAGTGCTTGTGCGCTCAGAGCTCATGGGAAGGCTGGCCAAGTGGCTCACACAAGGCCTGGAATTACTCACTCCAGAAGCACGGCTGGTGGGGCTGGGGGTCGCCGGGGGAGCACCTAAATCTCTCATTTCCTAAATAAACCTCTGCCATCATGCTGCTTCTTTTCTCCATATACGTATATACACGTTAAGAGACAACTCGATAAAGAGATGAAGGCACCAATAATTTCGGAGGCGTCTTTAACAAGCAGCTTTCTGAAAATAACATCTACTTGGTAATAATTCCAGTTCTAGCTTAAAACAACTTTTATTCTCAACTCAGTAACACCTACTTACAGTGGACATTTTGTGAAGTTCAGAGAGAGATTAAGATCTGTAAACAGATCAGGTATTGCTTGCCCAAATCATTTCAAAGCTATTAATGGAGCATCTATCATGCACCAGATACTGTACTAAAACTAGCAGATAAAAAGTGGAAGTAGTAATTTTTAATGCATAATTTATGTAATTCTCCATGTGTGTGTGTAGTCAGTCACTTAGTCGTGTCTGACTCTTTGCAGGCCCACAGACTGTACTCCATCAGGCTCCTCTGTCCATGGAACTTTCCAGGCAAGAATCCTGCTCCAGGTTGCCATTTTCTATTTCAAAGGCTCTTCCTGACCCAGGGATCGAACCCACATCTCTTGCATCTCCTGCACTGGCAGGCGGATTCTTTACCACTAGCACCACCTGCAAAGCCTCAATTCTATATATATCAAATATTAAATAGTATTAATAATTTAAAAACAAGTTGCTGGAAACTGAAATTTAGGTCAAGAGAGCAGAGGGAGTCACTCTGTTGCAAGAAGACTTGTAACAATAACAGGGAAACCCCCAATGTTCCCCACAAAGGGCAGCTAAAGAACCTGCTTCACGGCAATAGTCTGTCATGATTATCCTGAGAGCCTACCTAAATGGACCGTCCACTGTTTTAAAGCCATTTCATTGTTAGCAATCAGTTTCTAAAATGCTCTATAATTATTCTATAATTCAACAAAGATGTTTAATTAGAAATTACAATGAAATTTCTCCCTGATTAACTCTTAGATAAGCAACTAAAAAGAAGGTAACTCAAAAATTCTCCGATCCTTTAAATCACAAAGAGAATTTACATTTGGGGGTTACTGTGAATGATGCTGCTTTGAACATCTGTGTACAGGTTTTTGTGTGGACTCACGTTTTCAAGTCTCCAGGGTACAAACCTACGAATGGAACTACTGGGTCATCTACAGCTCCAGGTTTAACATTTGAGGAACTGCCAAACTGTTTTTCAAAGTGGCTGCACCATTTTACCTTACTTACCCATCTTAATGAGGTGCTATGGTCTGAATGTGCATGTTCCCCCCAAATTCATATGCTGAAATCCTAACCCCCAAAGGTGACAGTGCTAAGAAGGTGGGACCTTTGGGAGATGATTAATTTATGAGGGTGAAGCCCTCCTGAATGAGGTTAGTGTCCTTACAAAAAAGCAACCTGAGAGCTCCCTGACCCCTTCCACCATATGAGGACACAGCAAGAAGGCCTGGCCGTGAACTAGGAAAAGGGCCCTCACCTGATCAAGCTGCACCATGATCTTGGTCTGTCCAATCTCCAGAACTGTGAGAAATCAAAAATCTGTTGTTTAGAAGCTACCCAGTCTGTAGTATTTTGTTGCAGTAGCCCAAACGGACTAGGACAGGTAGTAATTTAAGTTTATTCCTTTGATACTTTTCCTATTTTCTAACATAAAGATCTAGTGCTATAAACTTCCCTTTCAATTGTTTTCACTGTATCTTATCAATGCTGACAGGTTGTACATTTATTTTCTTTTTTTATGTTTAATTGAAATATAGTTGACTTACGGCGCTGTGTTAATTTCTGCTGTACAGTGATTCAGTTATACATACATATATACACACACACATTCTTTTTCTTATATTCTTTTCCACTATGGCTTATCATAGCATACTGAGTATAGTTCCCTGTGCTACACAGCAGGATCCTGTTTATCCGTTCTATATATAATAGCTTGCATCTGCTAACACCAACCTCCCACCCCTTGGGAACCACAAGTCTGTCTTCTATGTCCATGAGTCTGTTTCTGTTTCATAGATAGGTTCATCTGTGTCACTTTTTAGAATCCACATACACATAAGTGATATCATATGGTATTTGTCTTTCTTTTTCTGATTTACTTCACTTAGTATGATAATCTCT